ATCCTCCCACCAAAAGCCCCATCTTTCAGAGTCCCAAAGTGCCAGCCCTAGAGCCCCTCACCCCCCCTTTACTACCCCCCAGCTTCAGCCACTGACCCCAGAGTCCCCTGCACTGAACCCCTCCAGTAACAGCCTTCTGCCCTCAGAGCCCCCCCATGTCAGACCCCTATCCCTTAGAGCCCCACCTTCCAGACCCCCCCAGTGCCAGCCTCCTATTTCCAGAGCCCCACAGCATTCAACCCTCCCAAAGCTTCCACCAGTATTAAAGCAGTTGCAATCCACATCCCCCTTCAACAAGAACCAGAGCAGGAGCTGGTGCATAATGAATATGCAAATATTCAACTACAATGTTATTCGTCCACCAAAAGCCCCATCTTTCAGAGTCCCAAAGTGCCAGCCCTAGAGCCCCTCCCCCCCCCTTTACTCCCCCCCAGCTTCAGCCACTGACCCCAGAGTCCCCTGCACTGAACCCCTCCAGTAACAGCCTTCTGCCCTCAGAGCCCCCCCATGTCAGACCCCTATCCCTTAGAGCCCCACCTTCCAGACCCCCCCAGTGCCAGCCTCCTATTTCCAGAGCCCCACAGCATTCAACCCTCCCAAAGCTTCCACCAGTACCAGCCCCCAATATTAGCCCCATCCCCAGAGCCTTCTTGTGCCAGCCCTGCTCCTATAAACCTCCCAGTACTAGCCCCACCCCTCCTGTGCCAGCCCCCAGCCTCAGAACTTCCCAGCCTCAGAGTCCCTAGCACTAGCCCCGCCCCCATCTAGCCCTGCGCTGCCTCCCAGCCACCAGCTGAATGCTGCTGCTTGAGTCGTGGCTGCTCTAAGGCTGCTGCAACCTTCCCGCTACACAGCAAAGCTCTCTTCTGCAGCTGGGAAGAGACCCTGCCCCTTCCCTGCCAGATCTGGCCAAAGCCCAGCCCCCGACACACACATGGGATCGATGGTGTTTGCAGCACATGTGATGGGCCAGGGGCACATTTCTGGTAGCTTGAGAGTTCCTCTCCAGGACATTAACAGTTGGGGCCTAGAGGCGCAGGGTGACAGCCCATGTGCATCTTGGGCTCACAGCTCCCACCCGACAGCTGAGCGGTACTAGCCCCCTTGACACCCACTGTTTTGAGTCAGGGAGCTCAGCTCCCCCCACACAACTCAAACCAGTGCTGCTGGCTGCGGTGTCCTGGGACGTTGGGAAGTGGCCAGACACATGGTGCAGGCCGGAGCTGGCTGGGGAGACCCCGCAAGGGAAGCACCCAGTGCAGCTCCCCAAGGCCTGTAACCTGGTCCTCCTCAGGACAATCATGGCTGTGAAGGCTCCACTCCCTGGTCCTGAATATGCCATCCACAATGGAAAGGACATGGAGCAGCAACCTGCCATGTAGCCCTGCTGGCTGGGCTGCGTGGCTGCTGCTGGAGCCGGAACCAGGACCGTGGTAAGACTGTTCCAGTAGGGACAGCCTCACCATAGGCCGGCTCCAGCCATGGCATACCAGGGCAGCCCACAGTGACACTCACCGTGGGAGGAGAATTTTTAGTGTGCTGCAGGCGTGCACCGTATGGGGAACGGAGCACCCAAGCAGGCAAGGCTCATTAGCAGCTGGGGGCATGGCCTGGCAGAGTGCTGTGACCGGGCAGGCAGGGAGGGGATGGAAACCGCTGATCTAGGCCTCCTGATTTAGTCACCTTAAGATATTTCAGTTTGACTTCCACCTTGGGTGTACTAATTTCTACCCATGCTCTCATTCCCATTAGCCACCCTGTATCTGCCCCTAAATGCTTCATTAGCCTCAATAAAAAACAAGGTAAAGTATTTATTTGTTTAGATGTTGTAACATGCCTAAATGATCTTTAATCTTTGCCCCATCTTCAGAGTTTCCTTGTTTTTTTTTTTCTTATTTATATGGCTATAGAACCTTTTTGTTAATTTTAATTCCCTTTGCAAGGTCCAACTCTGCTTGGCTTTTGGTGGTTCTCCCTTTACTCCTGTGCTTTTTGACCTTCAAGAGTTTCTCTTAATCCCCTATTTCAGATGCTTGTTCATG